TGATATTTTAAGTATTAAAATGTGGCATATAAATTTTCAGGCAAAAAAAATGATTTTATTTATGATAAAACATGTTCTCTAAGACATCCCTTATAAAATTCAGTTATTCTCCGTTGATGTACAATATAAAAGGGCATAAACAGTCATTAAGTGTACCTTTCTTTTTTTGGTGAACCCTTGAAAAAGAAATTTTGCTGAAAAGACATTTTAGCTTTTTGTATGAAGTTTATTTTCACTTATTTTTGATGAGTTGTGAAAATATAAAAAAAGGGTATTTTCACTGATTCCTCCTTTCAGCGAATATAGTGAAAATAAAATCCAAGTGAAAATATAGTATTTTACAGTAATTGATTAGTATCTGTCATTTTTTTAAAACTCATTTTAGTGGAAAATTACTTTAATAAATCAATGACCTCGAAAGGTGACCTTCATGTCACAGCTGTCATTTTTGCCATTGAGGGCATACTTTAATTTAAATTTAAAAACACTATTAAAATGATTTGATGCACTATGATTTAATTGTGCAGATCTCTCATTTAGTCATGAGTTGTGAATGCTCTGCAAAAAAAAACGCAAGTATTTTGAGGTTAGTTCATGGAAAATGGTTGAAATTTCTATTTTTTGCACTGCTTGGTTTCCATAGTCTGATTGCTTTGACATTATGTATCTAGGTACTACATGTGGACCTTTCACAGATTTGTTCATTTCGTGATGGTATCTTTAATTCTCTAATTTTGATAAATATTTTTGTCATATTTGGTAAAAAGTAATATTTTTGACTTCTTGTTAAAAACTGCAAGTCTGATTTCTTTGATATTATATATATAGGTACTACAGGTAGCCCTCTCTCAGATTTGTTCATTTTGTAATAATATCTTCAATTCTCTAATTTTGATGAATATTTTTGTCTTTTTTGGTAAAAAGTGATATTTTTGACTTCTTGTTAAAAAACACAAGTCCAATTGCTTTGATACTATACATATAAGTACCTCAGGTAGACCTCCTTCAGATTTTGTGATGATTTCATTCTTCAATTATCTGATTTTGATGAATATTTTTGATAAAAAGTTATATTTTCGAATTCTTGTTGAAAACAACAAGTCTGATTGCTTTGATACTATACATATTGTTCATTTTCTTCAGTTCTTTAATTAAAATGTGCATTGCTAAAAGCTCAGCCGACAGGTTGCTTGTCTATGAATCCTAACATTAGGCCATGATTGTCTATTGTCTTTCTGCTAAAAAAAACATACATCTTGGGCATTTTTTTTGATAAAGGACCAATGGCAACAAGTTTACCATAATCATAATCATACCAAGTTTACAAGTTTACCATAATCTACAGTTAAAATCTCACCTTTTTAAATCAAAATTAATATAGTTGCATCTAACATTTCTTCTAAGGCATGGTACCTACAAAGAAAAATTAAGAATAAAAACTCCTAAATTCCCATAATGCAAGGAACATATTTTTTTTCCAGGCCTTAGTCAAAGCATTTCAAAAAAATTACATAAATAAATATATATATAATTTAGTGAGTTTTCAGTGTGATAGAACCGTAAAATCTGTATTAGAAGTCGCACCCAATCTTTTTGAATAATTGAGAATCAAAAAAGGTGTAGATGCTCTAATAGAAGCCGCATCCCCTCTGTTGCATTGTACTATTTAATACAGATTTTACAGTAGTTTTGTATATGTATATAATAAAAAAAACGTTCCCACAATGCATTGCATATTCAGGCAGTAACAAAATTTGGTTTTGAACCGCCTTGAATGCATGTAAAAGATCAATCAAAGATAAGGATAAATTAATGACGACCTTTGACCCGCTTAAGTTTGATTTAAGTGGAGCATTCTATTCATTAATGGGTTTAATAATTAGACATTTGTGAGAGATTTAATGTGATGTAATCACTATCTTACTGTTTATTTCCATCTAATGGTACATGTACTTGATAAAATGTACCTGTCTCTTCAGATACCACACGCCCTTAACAAGACTTTGTTCTATTTTATACTCAGATTAGAGCCATATTCAGTCACCAATGAACATCCAAATCAACTTTTGTTAACTTTTGCTGCAATAGTAATAAGCATAATTTTGAATTTAAGTTGCAAATACCGTATTTGTTCTATTAGTAGTGCATACACTATAAATAATAGAGATGTGTCTTTTGTTGAAATAAGTCATATTTCAATGATCCTGCATAAGATCAATGTTGTAAAATTTGCATGAGGTTGTAAAATGAATTTAATTCTCAATTTTGGATGCATTACATTTTTCTCAGATATTTTAAAAAATGATCTGACGATACATTTGTATTAACATGTACCCTGGTAGGTCTTTCATGGCAAGCTAATTCAATATCAAACTTAAGCCAGATCATTTGAAGTTTGACAATACTTTAAAAGGGTTAATTATTCACTGGGTTTTAATTTCGCTGACTGGAAAATGTGCTAAATTAAAACCCAGTGAATATGTAAAATTGAGCATAGAAAACATTATCTAAGTGATAAAACCGTGATAAGAAAACCCATTGAATATGCCTGAAAAGCTAAATCAATGAAATTTAAACCCAGTGAAAATTAGTCATTTTACAGTAATACATATGCATTAATTATTCAGACCCAGGTGTTACTTTACAGTTGAAGTCTCAGTAGGTACATGTATACATTTAGATTTAAATATGTGAAGTTAACACCTAGCTTCGCAATGAACATATGGAGATTTCGACTTGCAATAAGGTTGTCGTTATATGTTAACACTTACAGTACAGTAATATATATTATTCTCTTATGGACTCCATTAGGAAGACTATGCCATACTGTAGGAATAGCGGATTATTGATGGATTTAGAGGGTTTGTGCTATATGCCAAGGTGACAATCTCATGCATTTTAATGACATTTATATAATGTTACCTGCTATATAAGTGTTAACTTTTGATGTTTTTTTGATTCGTTGAAGAATGTTTGTAAATTAAATATCAGAATCAGTGTTTTATGAAATGAAAAGGTGTGCAGGGTGACACTTCTTTCAGAGATGAAATATGGGGCTGTGCATTTCGTGTGGGAAGTTATCTTTCAGGTAACACAACTGGGAAATTTACCATTCCCTATATAACCCAGGTAAAATGAAGCAGTTATTACGTTGCTATGGTTACTTGTCCTACAGTCTGATTAATAAAAGAATCTATAGTTTTGGGATTTTTATATATATTTTTTTTTTATTATTTTTTTTTTTCAAATAATTGTATTTAATTATTTTTTACATATTTTTTATTGTACATGTATTATATATTTGTTTAAAGTTTTGGTAATCACAGTGTGGGGATAGTTAAAAAACGAAATAAAAAAAATTCAGAATTAAGAGATTTTCATCAGATTGTCCCTCATATGACTACATTTTGTATCTGTAGGTCATTCATCTCCCTATGAATTTTTCTTGTTAAAAACCACAAGTCCAATTGCTTTGATAATATACATATAGGTACTACATGTGGACCTCTCTCAGATTTGTTCATTTCATGATGATATCTTCAATTCTATAATTTTGATGAATATTTTTTTAATTTTTGGTAAAAAGTGATATTTTCGACTTCTTGTTGAACACCGCAAGTTCAATTGCTTTACACATTGTTCATTTTCTAATAATCTCTTCAGTTCTTTAATTGAAATGTGCATTGCTAACAGCAGAGCTATCTCTGCCGACATGCTGCTTGTTTTAGCTGGAATTAAATTTTGTGTGTTTTGCATGGAATTTATTTTTGATGAGTTGAATGTAAAATATAGGAAAAAAGGTGTATTTGCTTGATTTTATTTTCACTGAATCATTCCTTCAGCGAAATAAAGTATTTTACAGTAAATGACAAAAATATCAATCTGTGTGTTCAGAATGTCAAATATCATGATGTCAATGGGATTGCATATAACATTCCAGAATGTGAAATAATATCCTAATACTTAAAATTAATCTAGAGTATATATGCAAACGGCATATATACGTTCATAATTTTCAAAAATATATGTGAGCCCACATTCTTTGGAATATGAAAAGCACATCTCCAATCATAGAATGCCTGGAAAGCATTGTTTATCTACGATTGTAGCATTCAAGCATATCAATAAAATCTGTTTGTTTCTTTATTTTGGTGATTTTTGAAAACACATTTTGCTCATAATATATGATATTGTTGTTGTTGTTGTTGTTGTTTTTTATAACAGAGCAGAAATACATCGCTTTAATTTTGTGAAAAATAAATTTTGCAAATTTTACAGAGTCAGTGAAAAGAATGAAACTTCCTATCAGCAACTTTAGTGAAATGCCATTAAATTATCAAATGGTGAAATATGTAGCAGCATAAATTTGGTAGCTTACAGTATTTTCACTGCAATTTTTCTCATCAAATCATTGTTTCATAGAAATTATAATTTTACACACCCCATATAATATAAGGTTATTACGAAGACACCTCAAAGTATGCACGAAGAAAGTACAGCGGCAGTATCGACAGACGTGCAGCGAAGGTCAATGCAACAGCCTACTGTCTGAGTGCATACTTTGCGGTATCTTCGTATAACCTTATTATTATACATCTTTTCCTACCAAGGATACATCATGGGAATGCTGAAATCTAAAAAGTTTAGAACAGAATCAGCAAACTTTTTTGTATGGAGTCCGGCCAAACCCTTGTGGCAGCCATGTTTGTTTTTATCATTAGAAGACGCGCCTACGCGTGTAATCATTCCATATTTGGAATTTACATTTCCTAATAGGGTAGGATGAAAATACCTCGTAAAAGACTGCAAAATTACGGCACACTGTAACTTATGGCGTTTAAGTGACAGATGTATAGTAATTAATGTTATCATACATTTAGTACCATTACTGCCATGATCCCAGCACAGCAATTTGTGATAAAAAACTTATTTACAATAATTTTTATGGAAATTTTGTAATTTTAAAAATTGATTGATGTTTTTAATATTGTTAATTTCAGCACATCCATATGTCCTTTATGCGAACAGTACCGCCATATTCACACCAAGCTATCGTATGGGTGGAATTATTAAAGGTTTACAGTTGGACGCGTGTTGTGACGATAACAAGTGATGACCAAGATGGCCGTGCAGTCTTAGCAACGCTTAGGAAGATGGAAGATACCTTGGATAATAGCAGTGGATATATAGTGAGTAATTCTGATATGGTCTCCCAGCTAGCTTTTTCCATGCTCCTCATTTACGCAAAGGTGTGTAAAGTGCTTTTAATGTTGATCAATGCAGTGCAGTTTCCCAGAAGGGGATGAGGCTCAACATGGATAAGTATTCATGTGAGAACAAATTCTATTACCCATGAGACAAATATGATGTGTTGGTCTGTTAATTGTACCCTTCTTTTTCATTAGTTCTCCCATATTGTTTCATTATTATCTTGATTTTCGTAAAAAATGTCAAGGATATCTTCTAACTGAATACTGTAAAAATACTTTATTTTAGCTGGAATTAATTTTCGCTGAAAAGACTTTTTTGGTGTTTTATATGGAATTTATTTTCACTGATTTTTGACGAGTTGAATGTAAAATATAGGAAAAAAGATACACTCGCTGTATTTTATTTTCACTGAATCATTCCTTCAGCAAAAATAGCGAAAATTAATTCCAAGCGAAAATAAAGTGTTTCACAGTAGGTCATGTTTCACTGCATAAAAGCATAACGTATACAAGAGATTTTCACACTTTTTTCACATGAAATCACTGTCATTGAGATTTGTAATTCTACGATCATGACATAAACTTATTCCAATATTTCAGCCATCTTTAAAAATATAAATTATTCATTCTATAATTAATGGATGAGTTAGGGTAGTCACATTTTTCGGTCTCAAGCAGTTGATTTCCTTACTTGATCTCTATAGCATCAATTAGTTCTGCCTTTTTTACATCATTATCTATGAATAGTTCACATTCCTCAGTCTCAGGCACTTGACTTCTTGGCTTTCTATATAGATTCTATTAGCTCTGTTATGTTATTATCTATGGAGAGTCTAACAAGACCTTTCATCATAGACTGAAATAATAAGAACAGAGTGCACAGTTTCAATCCCATGAGTGTTTCTGTACTATAGACTCATTAAGAAATCTTCTAGTAATTCAGTGGGTGATTAGTTTCCTATTGTCTAGTGGAGTACTACATACAACTTCCCTCATGTTAGATCCGCAACAAGGCTGTCAGCTGCAGTCCTCGATCTTGACCTAGTGACAGTTCAAGCTCAAAATGTCAGGTTGCTACTTTGACAATCCTATTTAATATAGAAGCTGGCTAAATCAAATAATCCTTATGTTTACCATTCCCTCGTAATGAGTGAACAAAATGTCAAAGATGGAACCTGCATGGATATATTAATTTTGCGGAAATGTTAATTTATTTTGATAATAGAAGACAAGCAGATATCTGCAAGTTTGTAATACTAGATAACAGAATTATTACTGGTACTGTCGCAATTCTTCGCAGAATGCACAAAAGTTAAAATAAACACAAATAAAAAAGTTTCATCAGTCCATGTTTATTGCATTATGACAGTCAACACCGAGGACGCTATTTACAAATATGATGTCATAGGTGAACAAATCAGTTGTTTTATTCTACCAACAACTTGACTCCTTTTAATGAGTTAATGTTAGGTGCTGGGCTATTTTGGGTCCATTGATATCATAATTTGGGATGGCGTGCCAAATTTCCAGATATATTTACTGACACAACCTGCAACAGAAGTTGATCAGTGTGCAACTAGATCATAATCATCAAGTGATTGAATACTGTGGAATACTTTATTTTCGCTGGAATTAATTTTCACTGAAAAGGCATTTTGGGTGTTTGGTATGGAATGTGAATGTGAAATATAGAAAAAAAAGTATATTCGCTGGATTTTATTTTCACGGAATCATCCCTTCAGCAAAAATAGCGAAAATAAATTCCAAACAAAAATAAAGTGTTCTATACAGTAACTTAATTTGCACAATTTGAATGCAACATGTTACACATTTTTCATGTATGTTACACATTTTTCATAATGTTATTTGTTAATTTTGAACCAAATGGACATAATTTTACATAGCTCTCGGTCTTGATTAAAGTCTTGGAACAAGTATATTTCATGAAAGATATGTTGACTTTTGCATTCAAAGATGTGAATTCATATTTGTATAATTTTTCCACTTTGCAAGTCATGACAATTTCTCATGTGCATCGTGATAAGCATTGTCTGAATCATGTGGTTTCGCTAAAGCCGGCCATTCATAACCGGCCCACGAACCCGTGCTTGATCGTGTTAGGAAAAGCTGTATTTCACTGCAGTTAAATTGAGTCATTTGATTGGGCGCGCCAAGGAGCTGGCGTCACCAATCAGCGTTACTGTATCATAAATGTGAACGTCTGGGGTCACCACAGATTAAAACAATGGCGGCGTGTAGGATTTGTGCTGATTCACTGGGAGTTAACAACAGAAGTTCTATATTCGTTGACACGTTTCCAAAATTTCTTATTCCAACATTGAAAATTGTCTAAATCGTTGTGCAAACCATGTTTTAGTAAACTGACAAAACTGTCAAAACTGATAACATATTGACTTGCCCAATCCTGGTTTTGTTGCAAAAAACACATCTGTTCATTTCTCTCAGATACAGCACTAAGCACTTTCTTTTGGTGGTCAGTAAGGTCGTTCACAGAGCAAAAAGCTAGCAACACGATGATTTCTATATTCCAAGATTTTAATTTTACCAAGTAATGTGTTGTTTCTATCATGAGTTCTGATTGGGTAATGCAAGTGAATCTTATAATCGTTTGAGGGCGTGCGACATACAGTAAATCGTGGTGAAATCTGCCAAGGGTTAATGTTGAGGCTCCGGCCGAATAAATGGTCCTTGGCTGGTGAAGATACATGATAAGTACTAGTGTTACTTTGTTTTTATTTTCAGATTGAAGGGTCTTTGGTATATAAACCTGGAGGGGACAATATAAGTAATTTATTCACGAAAATTTCCGAACTACAGTCGCGCGTCTTCCTTCTATATGCAAGGTAAGACTGAGTTGTCTACCCTTAATAGTATTGAGAAATATGGGTGAGTAGTGATGGTGTATATTTCTGTGAGTGAGTGAGTGAGTGAGTGAGTGAGTGAGTGAGTTGAAGTGAGTGAGTGAGTGTGTGTTGTGTGTACTTGCATTGCTATATGTTCCGATATACATACATTGTATATATCAACTTCCGAGGACATACACACCTTCCGAGAATCATTTTCATAGTACTCGAAAAACATAATTTATATTAATAGTTAATTCGATTATTAATACGTTTTGCGTAGCTTAGGTTTAGTATCGGGAGGGTATGGTTCAGTTTATATTAATATAATTGTACCATACCTTACCCCGATACTAAACCTAAGCTTTGCAAACGTTTTGTTTAATTACACAATTTCCTTTTAATAAATGTTAAATGTATATATCTTGTTGTTTATATTAATGTTTATATCATATCGTATCATATTGAACTGCATTATTTTTTTACTTTTCCCTGTGACAAAACAGAAAGCAATACTGCTTTTTTGGCTCTAGTATGAAATAGAGACACCGGAAGTAACTAGAAAAAACAACGATTCAAATAGCTGTTGTTTGCTCCTTCATTTTCCAATCCAGTGAGGTTATGGTGCCAGATTGACAAATGCACTATCTGATGATATAGACAAATTAACAATCCATCTTATATGGAGATCTTTCCTTAGAGAATCTGGTCAATCAGTTAAATGAATTATTTTTGAAGGTGGAATCCTATTAAATTAGGACAGGTGGACTAAACCAATTGTCAAAATTTCCTATTATCAGCATATAGAACATATAGTCAATCAGATGAATAAACCATTTCTGAAATAGGGATGTTTTAGTAAATAAG